CCAATACCGATACGGAGAAAAAGACAGAAAATATTTTGATATGAGAATCGTCAAATTTTGGCCTAGAAATATTACCAATATTGATACGAAGAAAAAGATAGAAAATATTTTGATATGAGAATCGTCAAATTTTGGCCTAGAAATATTACTAATACTGATATGGATCTCATGATCAATACTAACAAAAAAATAATAAGACTAAGACAAATTATTATCAAATAATTGATGAAAAGAAGATCATATTTTCTCTCGAGTTATCAAGAAATTTAACCTAAAAATAAAGAAAGAAACTTTTTTGATTGGATGGGATTGATTGTACATCTTTTATAAGCATCATCCGGATAATTCAAATCCAAGTAATTTGATGTCCGACTCGGACCGATAGAAATACTCCAAAACTCCATCTTTGTCATGTATTCCATATATCACACTAGATAGATATCATATTCGTGGAATACGATTCACTTTCAAGATGCCTTGATGGTGAAATGGTAGACACACGAGACTAAAATATCATGATAAAGAGCATAGAGGTTCGTGTCCTCTTCAAGGCATTGAGAATGCTGATTGAATGAGCAAAATCATTCATAGCCATGAGATGTGAACTTGGGCAGCTGCGATTTGGCCACTAATTGTGCTTGAAGTCTGATGAATTTTTGCTCAAATATTGCATTGACAACTGAGGCACCCAACTTTTCCAATTTTACAATTTGGTAACTTTCTGCGTACATGACCTTGTACCAAATGTACTAGTCTTATTGTAAACCATATTGGTGTACGTGACCTTCTTGCACCAAGTGTATGGTATGATTTAGGTACACCTACCGTTCATTGAGGTTGACGTACGGATGGTGGAGATAATTGTGCCGAGGTTAACAATGTGTATCCCTGTAAAACTAGGTTTAATCTTCATAGGATCAATCATCAGAAGACTCTGCGTCGTTTAACTATACATAATACACCATTACCACGGTTTAGAAAAGATTGTTGTCACCTGTCACACAATATTCATTGGACGTTACAGCCATTATCGCCCATTGAAAAGCTTCAAATAAAGATTGTATAACATGAGACCATTTATATTAGTTATAAAGATGTCATAATTGCTCTTAGTTTTAGACGTCAAATTTGATAGCTTAGATATGTCATACAGTTTTTTGGGCGGTGATACCGTTCAACGGTTGAATCCTGGTATGATGCAACCATATTTCTAAAAAACCATGTTTGTGGTATTTGTATGATCTAAAAATTCGCACACACACTCTCTTCATCTCAATAATCAATCTTAAAAAAAAAAGTTTAATTTAAACCTTAGATATGGTCAAAATGGGTCCCCTCCAATAACGAATCTAGACCATTCATTTGGTGAATTTCAATATCTTAGCCTTTACAAACTCAAAATCATTTCTTTCTTTTTCTAAATTGTTCATCTAATGATAATAAAGCTAACTAAAAAAATTGGAAGAGAAAAAATCCTTATAAGGCCTAGATCTAAGCATCTTATCAAAATGGACGGTCTCTGTTAATTGGGATGAAAAATACTTTCTAGGTTCCGTTTTCAATTTTTTCTTTTTTTTTATTGTTCATTAGAATGAAAATAGTGTATATTTCAGAATTTGTATCAAATAAATAGCCCTAACATTGTTTTTTAAGGTTGTTGCATTATACTATGATACAACCGTTGCATGAAATCACCGACCTTTTTTTTTTTTTTTAACTTTGAGTCTAGTCAATTATATATTCACAACCACCCAATTTGAAACCTCTAAGGACAAAAATAATTTTAACCTCTTTGTATCAAAAATAAAATGGTTTCTTTGTATACTTTTTTGTTGTTATACCCGCTATCATGGTAGTTCTCATGTGTATAAAAGATTCAAAAATTTTCGAAACCACCAACATGTGGATATTTGTTCCAAGCTATAAGCATGTATGCAACAATGCATAGATAAATTTATAATGACAGTATTATTATCGGTGCTTTAAAAACTAGTGAACTGGATCAGAACTAGTGGCTAGGCTGTCTAGGTTGAAGGTATTATGTTTGGTCACCATCCCTATATTTCTGGGAATTATGGTAAAAAGAAAAATAATCTTTTTTTTGTAAGCAAGAAATAAACCCTAATAATTTATATAAAAGGACATCCTTGTGAGGGTCACCATTTTGGAATCATGGGAATTGCTAAGTTTCTTATTTTTGGTAAAGAAAAAGAAGAATGACGAAGTCAGATGAATACAAGGTTTGAGGTGAAGAATATGGAGGCAAAATATTTGTGAAAATTCTACAATAGAAGCAAGAGAGAAAAAATAAAAAAATCTATTCAATAAAGGTCGACAAGGAGAAGATGATAATTTTGCTATCAAGGCGACGATTATTAGGTTTGGTGATAGTCAAAATACCACACCTACATTTTCTTCTAAAGATTAAAAGTATTATGGTAAAAAAAAAAGAAAGGTTTTTTTTAGAAAGTAAGAAATAGATCCTAACGATCTCTATAAACGAAGGTCAAGGAATACATAATACTCATCTTTTAAAGTGACTCATTTGGGATCATAAGAAGGGATCTTTAAGAAAGAGATGAGTCTCTAAGAGAGAAAAATAACTAAGATTTTATCTTTCAGTAAAGAAAAAAGTGAATGGCGAAGTTAGATAGATACAAGGATGTAAGTTGGAACAATATAGAAGTAAAATATTTGTAAAAATTCCATCACAGAGGCAAGAGAGGAGAAATTAATAAATCTTTTCAATAAAGGTCGACAACACGAAAAAGTATTTAATTTTGCATCAAGATGGAAATTATTGTAATACTAATGAAAAATCACCTCCAATTCAGTATTGTGTCTTTGTGTGAAGGTTTTTCTATCAACTAGAAAATACCATTTATGATAGCATACTACCATTATTTTATAGAGAGAGAGTACATGTTGTAAGGGAGAGCTCTTGTGAGGTTTATATCAGGGGTTTTGGGCTAAACCCTAACTACCGTTGTATCCTATTTTGGGTGGTTTCATCGGCATTTTTTATTGTAAGTGGATCCATGGTGAAGAAGTCAACAATGGAAGTATTGGTTTTTTGTGGCAGTGGAAAGGGAAATGAAATCAATGGTTCTACCAAGGTAAACCTTGTATTTACCTATTCTTCTAATTTTTTCAACGACAATAAAATCATGTCGTTGTTGGTTGCCAGTGGATGATTGCCAGTGGATGAAATCCGATTAAGGTGAATATATATTTGTGTGTGGTTCTTGGATTGTAGTTTGTAGTTGTGGTTTTAAATTTCCTATGCTTGTTTCTCTTGGTTTCTGTTTACCCTTTCCAAATTTGTTATGCGATATATGGTTCTTGGGTGTTTAGATTTCTAAAATCAATTTGTCGGAGAGAAGCAAGTTGATTCATTGGATCTATAAGATTTTTAATTTTCATCAATACCATAACGTTTTTATGATTTTTTTTAATATCCTGACATTGTACATTGTTTTTTATTTTTACGCATTTTTCTTGGATCTTCTAATTCCATTTAAGTGGGAATTGGCCTGACTTGCCGAACCGACCAACCTGGCCCTTGGGAGAGTTCCCAATAATCCAAAGTTATCAGGCCTGGACCTAGACCTGACTGGACCCAAACCCGAACCCAACCCAAAACAAAAATATATATATTTAAATGTTATATTAAATATATACATATGTCATTTAAAGGAAAAAGTTTATATGAGGTTACAACTTTAAAATGTAGAATTACATATGCACTTAAAAAATCCATCAAAAAAAGTTGTTTTAATGTTGAAAAAATCTCTAATTGATCATCTCGACATCAAGACGTATGAATATGAAAAGAATAAAGATTTTGATTCCCAAAAATAGTGCATATTGTAATACATTATCAAGACCATCCCTTTTCAAGATTTCCATATGTTATAGATCTACTTGATTTTTACTTTTTTTGGAGTTTAAAATTTTATAATTAGATATGAAAGTTGATTTTAAGATAATCCTAATAATTTTTTAACCAAAATTACATGTTATATAAAATTTGGAAGTGCACCTTAATTGATTGTTTAAGGTTGCAACCTTATAAAAACCACACATTTATATAAATATTATAATTATATTTATTGAAATATTAATTAAATACTATTAAAATATTATATATTAAATATTATTTATATAATAACACTATACAGGTTGGATCCACATAGACCCGACCCGGAACCGGATCCAAATAGTATTCAGGTCCAATATTTGGAACTAGACCTGCCGGATCCAATTCTTGGACTCATACCCAGATCCAGATCCAGGTTGAGTCATTGCCATCCCTAGTTCCTAGCTTATATCAGGCTATTTAAACACGGGTTTCCCATGATGTCATAATTTCATGTGGTTTATTATCCTCCGAGTATTTGCCTTCAAGATTCTAAGTTCAAATAGTTGATATTTTTAACCACCTCTGTTAGGAATCCTACTTTCACTAAATTCAAAACATAAAAAGTACCCTTCCCATAAAGTGGTCTCAAGTGTTACTGCTTCATTATTAAATTCTTTCCACTAACCCAAAAAAAAACTCTTTCCACTGTTTTCCCTAGCATTTCATTTTCTAGTAAATCTTTTCAAACTCATACCGACTTTCAGTCTTTTTACGCAGCTTCAGATTTACCATTCATCACCCAAACAAGGTTATATCCACGTAAGTAGTAATTCCAGTAACTTATAATAATGAAAACACAGATGACAATTTTCTTCATGCCATTACTGTCAACATTTCGTGACTGCTTCTCAGTTCCTTGTCGAAATATTGTTCAATTTCAAGCAGTTCAAGCATCTTCCTTGTCAATAAGCAGTACACGTTGGAAAAACACATTTTTCCCCTAAAACGGTCCAAACCCACAATTTAAACATGTCAGAAGGTCCAAAGTCCAAGCGTTAAATACCCCCGAGCATAGGCCAGCACTTTCATCCACTGATGATACACGTAGCAATTACTTTTCAACAATCCACTTCACAGATTGTAATGCCCAAATCATGAACCATGTATATTTTTATTCAATATCATTTCATATCCAAAAACTTGTGAAAGAATACATAAAAAGGCCCTCTAGCACCTAACATGGGATACTTTTCTTTTAACCATGATTTCTGAATGTTAACAGCCACATGAAGTGTAAGTTATTTCCCTCAGAAACTTGGATTTATATAATGGTCTAAAGCTAAGAGGATGTACAAGGGAATGAGAGGGAGTGTACTGGAGAGATCTTGCCATATTATTTCCTAACAAAGGAAATGCCTTTCTCAATGCTTGATGCCAGCTCTTTCTTGGCTTTCTCCAAACCAGATCTGCAATGATCAGAAAAAGCAGTTTCATGAATGAACTAAGCTCAAGATGCAGAAGAGTAAACAAATGTAGGGAAAGTCTACTCCAATCCAATGGACAATGTAAATATAAAGACCAATGGGTTAATAATCCTCCAATTAAATGATGGACGGCGATGGAGTCAGTGCAGGACCACTATTGAGTCTCACTCTTATCCACCAGAGTCCATCCTTCAGAGAGTCACGGCCCAATTAGATTATATTATACTTTCCTTTTACATATGGACACATATGGTCACAAACCTTTCATAATCGTTTAGAGGGCCAAGTGGGTAGATCTCCTCAGCTCCTCCTCGGCCAAGTCGCACTTTCGAAGCAAAGAAGGGAAGCTCTGTTACCTGTGAAAGATCAAATTTTTACATCATTTGACAAAGATGGATGATTTTAAAAGAAAAAATAATTGACATGTTATCGTACTTGAGAGGCAACAAATGCACACTCCACAATGCCAGCATCCCCACGCAAGCCCCGCAAGCATGTATCAGCGAACTTTGCAGCAGCAAAAGCCTGTTTATTCAATCCCAAATTTATATGGTTAGCTTTCAGGAGTGGTGAGCGAATTGAACTAAGGGAGCTAAATAAAAGTAAGACGACCAACCATTGAGAGTGTTGCTGAACCAGCACCAGCTTTTGCCTGCGATGAAAACGAAAATTATCAATCTTACAACTGTGATTATGAGACACCTCCCAGAAACGTGTTCATTAATAATCTTAAACATTTTAATAGAGTAAAAGCGGGATATCTAGTAGTTAACCGTTACTAAAAAAAAAACAGAGGGATATCTAATCCAGAATCAATATTCTTTTAGGTAGGTTGTGATGGTGCCTGAGCCCGGGATGTGGTGTTCCTACTGTCAGCACCAAAACCATTCAACCCAGTGCCCAATCCCACAACCCATAATTATTATTACGAACTAAAATAAATTCTAAACATATATAACGCATATCCTTTTCACAGCAACTATCACATAAATTTCCTAAAGTAAATAATGAGAATATCAAATGCAGAGACATGCATGGTTTAGTCAGTTCTATTTCCAAAAGAAAAGAACTCGAGTCAACCATTATCTAGAAGGCATGTCTTGGAGAAATTGTTACACCAACTTGCAGGTAATAATGCAAATATGAATAGAACATGACCCGTTATTCTGACTTTTCAAGCAAACTATGGTCACACTAGCAAAGTATTTTATTCTCTAATGGAAAATCAGGGCAGAAACAAATAGAAAAATTAGCTTTTTAGGAATGAAAGCCAAGATGAGAACACACAAAAATTTGAAGGATCATCCTCCTCCTCCTCATCATCATCATCATCATCATCCGAACCTCATCTCAACCATATATGCCCAAAATCATTTCATTCAACCTATTTTATTTTTTGGGTGTCCAAGTTGTTTTATGCAACCATATAGTAGCAAGAAACCATAATAATAGTCGCGATAGTATGATGGCAAGGGCGATGAGCATGTATTTGGCCTGATGATGAGGGCAGTTTCAAAGGTGCTTGATCACTGAATCAGCCTTGGAGAATATGAGTCCTGCAATATCTAGAGACATATTGAAAACAGTGAATGTTACTGTGGTCAAGGATAGTAGAGCGTGTCTAACACTCAAGAAAACTTGGTTGCTTTTGCTTAACCCTTATTTTTTAAAAACGTTGCCATGAAAGTAGTTCATCATCATCATCGTCATCGGAGCCTTATCCCAATTATTGGGGATCAGCTACATGAATCCTGTTCCGCCATTCTTCTCTATCAAAGGCCATACCCTCATTCAGACCATAAGTCACCATATATTTTCTCACTACCTCCACCCATGTCCTTTTGAGCCTTCCCCTTTAGAGCCTTCCACATGAATCAAATCACCCATACCAACCTGTGTTGTATTAGGTCCACGCTGCACATGCCAGCCAACCTAAGTCTACTTGTCCTCATCTTCTCACTGATTGGAGTCACTCCTAAGTTCTTGTGTATATATTCAATTTGCATTCTATCCTTTCTTGCCTTAGCACTCATCCATCTCAACATCTTCATCTCAGCTACACTCATTCTATAGATACATTATTGCTATGAAAGTAGTTAGACCTTAAAATCCCACCTCTTCCCTTCTAAATGATGCATGGATGTCATGTGCCTAAAAAGACAATTTTAGCATATTTCTATATCTTTTAACATTGCACTTGGCCTATTGCATTGTATCTAAGCCTGTACTCCTCTATAGTTTTCAGGTAATGAGAATTTTGGTGGATAACTCTTCTGCCTCATGCTTTAATTTGGTCTGGAAAAGAAAAGTTTTACGACTTCATGTTTATTTGAACTAGGATTTTGAATTGCATGGAAAGATCATCCAAAATGTCAAATTTAAATATTATTTGAAGGGTTTATCTATGGTTCACACATTATCAAATCCAATAGGTTATATTTAGAAAAGGAGTGTAAATTATGAAAAGAATACTTTAAGCACCCCTTTCTTTATTCCATGACTATAAAATAAGTAAGGGTATTTTTATCATTGGGAAGGGTATTGGTCATATTCTTATTAAAAGACAAAGGGCATATTTGTCATCTCGAGAAGGAATTTTTAAAATATTTACTAGAAGAGAATGATATTTATAGTACTAAAGTACCTAGATTTTTAATCCATATTACCTTTGTCTTTTAGTGAAAATATCAACAATACCCTTCCTAATGACAAAAGTACCCTACTCATTTTACAGCCTTAGAAAAATTAACCTATAGAACTTTATGGGATGTAAACCATAGCAAATCCCATATTTGATTTGAAATTCACATGATGGTACATAACACCATACTTGTTTTGAAGAAGGCAAGAGTGTAGTACGGACTTTTTTCCAGTGTTATGACAATCGAACCGGTCATCAAAACCAAGATCGATCTCGTCTAAATTGGCAAGTTCACTAGTCAGACTGGTCTGAAAATTAAAAATTCGGTCAAATTGGTTTGACAGGTCTAAATCACTTGGTTCAAATTGGTTAACTTCCCTCACCAATTTGGGACCCTGCAACTGACCAGAGTACCAGATCACCAATTATCAATCTAAAATGGCACGTCCAATCAGATCTTAATTACATTGCTTTCTTCACATGTAGTCACCATGATGACATATCTCTATATACATGCGATTACCATGATGAGATATTGTCACCATTACGACCTGTGGTCACCATGATGACACATGTCTATATATGAGGTCACCATTATGACACATCTAACTATAGTTACCATGATGACATGTGGTCACCACGATCATACATGTCCAATGTTCAAAAATACGGATTGGGGTGCCCAGAGACAGGATGCCCTCCCCAAAATTGAACCCCGTGCCCCAAACAAAAAATATAGGGGAGTTCTTAGGGAATGGTTTTAAGTCTAGGGAGTTTTTAGGGTAATTTTCGAGCCCCAAACTCCTTGTGAAATAGACAAAAATATAATAGTACAATCACATAACAAATTTACACATACAAGCCTCAAGAGATTCTAACTTGTAAGACATTAAAATGCTTGAAATCCCAAATATCATTGTAGGAAACTAGAAGTCCAGACTAGAAACCATACACAAAGTCAACAAGGAAAATAAAAAAACAAATACATCAAGTCATCAACCAAACATATAAATATATCATAAAAGAAAAAAAGGTAAAAGAAAAAAACACATGATTCGCAACAGAATATGTTGATAAAAATAAAATCAAAACCGTCTTTCAAATATGATAATATTTTAAAAATATCAAAATCAAATCGATGTCGGTGCAAACATCATCTATTGGGTCGCCAAAAGTCCTCAAAATCAACTACTAGAAGCTCTAAATCTCTACCCACAACAGCCTTTGTTTTGGGAAAGAAATTGCAAAAATCAAAACTTTATCGATCTTTCGATAAATCACAAAAGAGTAGTTCTTTGGGGAGCTTTTCTCACCCTAAAAGCCACGGTTTTTGTATACTGCATATTGCAAGCGTCCTTGGAAGAAAGATTTATGTTATTCAAAAAAAGACAAGTTGATCCTTGCAATTCAAATTAAAAGATTTGCAAATTCCTATCTACAGTGAGCTCCAAGATCATGTTTCTCCAATGATTGGTAGCATATTACTATTTCTGTCATAAATTAGTTAATTTTACAGCCTGTAATTGTTAAGTGAATTAGGGATCAGCTCTTGACTAAAAAAGAGGCCCTAATTTTGTAAACTCCAACTTTAAAAGATTCAATACTTCTCTAAAGACATTCTCGACATTTCTAGTAGTGTTAAGGTGATTCAATCATGTCCGTTTGGGATGTGATCCAAGACTCAAGATCTGCACCCTGAATTCTATGGAATTTTCCTAATTCAGGCATCATATCATTTTTTGAAGTAGAGCAAATAGTTCAACGATAAAATTTGGTATTAATTAGGTTTAGGTTAGTCCTTTTTCTTGTTAGCAAGTTTCTTCTTTCCAAACAAGTAGTTGGACTTAGTTACCTATTTTTTTCGAAGAGTTTAGAAGATTGGTACATTCCATATTTCGTGAAGGAACAAGTTTCCTAATTTATAAATGATCTAGATCTTAATTTTGAAAGCTATGAATTTTTTAAGAAATATAAATATTGCTTGGACCAAGCGAAATATAAACATTGCTTGGATCAAGCAACTACAGATGCAGGGGGTTATAACTCTACAAGTGGCTACAAGTGGACATATTAGGCTATTGCCATTTAGTTGTATTCAAACCTAGCCTACATTAACCTTGGAACCAGAAGGCCTATACCCTCAAAACCTTGCTGTTAAATAGTAGGAAACTTAAAACCCTTTAGAACTCCTAAATCCTGACCTAATTAGAACTCCCACTCCAAACCCTAAATCAGATGGTTGTGATTTTCACATTATGCTATCTAAAAATCTTCTCAAACTCAGTGAGGTGAAAGGAAACCTATCTCATTCATTTTGCTACACTATAGCAGCTCTGACAAATCAAATAAAACTAGTGATTAACATATCTAAAGTGCATGTCTATAAAGCCTTAGAGCAAGCACCACCGAGAATGCCCATTTCCATCCATTTGTTCTCTGCCAAAGCATAAATTCTGTTAAGTGCCTATATTTTGCAGCAATATACACACAAACAAACACTGCTATAAAACCCAACAGATCATGTTTGAAATTAGAAGATAAGCCTTCCATATAAATTTTGGAAAAGTAGAAAGCAATTTCATCAGCTCACAAATTGAAGCATTAACTATACTACATTATTAAACGAAGGTTTAAGGGGTGGACATATATCGCAACAATAAGAAATGACTACATTATTAAGCGAAGGTTTAGGGCAAGTAATCCTTAAAAAACACAGAGAGAGAGAGGAGAGGGGAAGGGGAGACGAGAAAGAGAGAGAGACATGTTCTTTAAGGGGGTAGGGGGGAGAAAAACATGATCGTTGAGGGGGAAGGGGAGAGAGACCCATGATCTTTGAGGGAGAAGCAAAGAGAGAGAGAGGCATGATCTTTGAGGGCCAAGAGCAGAGAGAGAGGAAGATGTGAGAGAGAGATGTTGTAGAGAGAAAATTAAAGAAGATTGTTAAAGAGAAATATAAGGGAGATACTCATATAAGAATATTAGTAGTGAGATAGATAAAAGGAGAGAGAGGA